TTCTTTCATCCAAGTCATTGATAAAGAAGTTGAATAGCCCTGGGCCCAGGAAAGAACCCTGTAAGCCAGGATTGTATTGTTTTTTCCTGAATTCTGAAATATCCAGTGATAACTGAAGGAAGGCCCAGGATGTTTTTCTCCACCTCAAGGGTTCACTGTAAGCTAGGACAAACCAAGAACAAGTTATACCTTTTAAAACTGCCTTTGTTGCACAGCTACAGAAGACCTTGGATTACAATTTGGGGGAGGTTTGTTTGTTTGTTTGTTAAAATGCTTCTATCTTGACCTTCCTTACGGCATCTCAGAGTGGCATACAATATATACAACTGAAAACACTTCAAGATTAAGAGCATAAATAAACTGAACAAAGTAAAAGCATATTAAACAGGGCACTAATTAAAACCATTTTAAAAGCAACTGTTAAAGCCACTTTAAAAGCAACAACAAGTTAAACCCATGTACACACACACTTTGAAATGAATCAGACCCAGTAAACATCCACATTTTGGCCTGGAGAAAGAAAGAAACCAATATTGGCATTATTGGCATTGACCTTCAATGGGATTCCAAAATCAGGGTGCCACAGATGAAAAGGCCCTTTCCCATGTCTTCCCACTTAATATTGCTTCCTCTGGTGGGGCCCAGAGGATGGCCTTCTCTTAGACTACAGGTCCCAAAATCCCCTCTTCTGGCTGGGGGAGCAAGAACCTTATTGCATTGCAAACAAAGCCGGCAGGCAGCAAAAGGAATGCATTTTTTCTCTTTCTGTCTCCACATGACATCAATGCACTTCCATTCAAAAGCATGGGAGGGTATCATAAAAGCATCCCATTCGCCAAGCTGGAAAAATCCGTTCGGCAAAAGGGACACTTTTATGACCAGAAAAGAACAAACATCCTTTATTCAAACAGAAACAGAAAACCGCTTCTCTTTCTCCGCCTGCCAATTTTGTTTGCAATGTGATAAGGCTCCAAGAGTTCCCAAAAGGAACATTTTCGCACTCTGTCCAGGACTCTTTTTGCAATCAACCTGCCACTTCAACAAATATGTTAGCGGAAGCCGAACGGTTGCCCTTCGACCGGCCAAAGGAAGGTTGCAACTGTTCCATGCCCCAATCTAGATATCCCAAGCTGAGCACTAGCCTTGGGAGCAAAGCAGAGTCCCCAAGAAATGATGCTGATGAGATGTGACCCTCTTCTCAAAATGACCACCCTTCAGAGGAAAAACAATCTTTTGCACAGACTTGATTAAGCCAGGAATGCCACACAAAACACAGAACAATCCAAGCGCCCAGCCTGGGAAAGACAATGGAGCCACAAGAGATCCCTCAGCAAGATGCCAAGAATCCAGTCTAAATTACTGTGGAGTTGTTTTATTTTTGAGCAAAACAAGGAGTGAAAAGGGGGGGGGGAAAGCATAGGGCAAAGAAAAGAAGAAAAGACAGCTTCAATTGAAGACTCGTTTTGGTAAAGAAAGCAGCAGCAGCAAAAAAAAAAAAATCTCCACTGTAAAAAGAGATTTTGCTCGTACAAATGACCGTGTGAAGGACCTGCTTTTCATCCCTTTTTCCTTGCAAGGAGGAGAAAGGGAAAGGCATTTGAGACACTCAGAGGCAT